ACAAACATCACCGTTGTTTCACCTGGCTTAGTTATTTCACCTGGCTCTACCCACTTCAGATATAGGTTACAGGTTGCATTTTATTTTGTAGAACACTGATACTTTTCTGCTTCTCTTAAACATAGAATGGAATGTGTTGTGTGCAGTCACTGAAATGAAGAATGAATTGAGCATAGTATTGACTGAACTAATTAATCACATTGTCTCTCTTTGTGTGAAGAAGGAGCATAAAACATGCTTTCTAATAAAGATTCTGAAGATTCATGGATATAAAAGGTATAGAATCAGGATTCTATATTCTTACTGTCTGAATCACAAAATGTATGAAAAGCAACGCAAAATGAAATCATTTTCATCTTTGCTGCAACATTGGTTTTCATCCTGCAGAGAAACCAAATACACTGCCATTCTGTCCCAATGCATCTGTGCAAGGGATAAGTATATGATACTTCCACACATCAGAATCTTGCGCAAGTCCAACATGCTTGCTTCACCTTTTGATTTGTAGTGACATTGATGGCACCATAAAAAAGGTTGGTGGGCTCCTCATTAGAGTGTCGGCATCCTACTTTAACCCCTTAAGGACCAAACGTCTGGAATAAAAGGGAATTATGACATGTCACATATGTCATGTGTCCTTAGGGGGTTAAAGATAAAAACTACCAATCATACAAGCCTAGGAGCGCGAACTAAGCCTAAATCTCCCTGACAAAACATGGGAACGGCTCTTTGCCGCCCACAAAAAATTTACTTTATGCTCATCCCATATAGAACTCACAAAAAAACTGCTCTATCGCTGGTACTTAATATCGAAACGTCTACACCGCATGAATCCTGAGGTATCCAACCAATGCTGTAGATGCCATAAAGGAACAAGATGTGGTGAGACTGATAGCTTCAGTGTCTGGGCTTAACATTCCATTCACCCCCGAGACCTTTATACTACAAAACTACCCCCCTAAACTGGCAAGGGCAATGGTGTACCTCACATACCAAATAAACATAGCAGCACTTACACTTATAAGCAGAAGGTGGCGGACCAGTGAACCCCCAACAATACAAGAATGTATCCTCTTGGTGGACCATAACAAAACCTATGAATGTGCGGCAAGGATCGCAGCCAATCAACAATCTAAAACTTGGAGGATAGCATGGGAAAGATGGACTGAGAGGCAGAACGCCATGACATCAACAACCCAAAACATGAACCCACCTGAAGGGTCGACAGCCACGCTCATATAGGCTACCCAAGTGGAGAACCCACTTATTTGCTCACTTGTAAATCACAGAACTGCTAAATAGACAAGGTATAAGAGGGACAAGATAATGTCAGATATTTAACTCCTGCATGATAGGCCTACCAATGAGCCTACGAATAGGCCACTGACCCAATACAAGAAACTGACAGCTTTAATCTCCCTACTTCAACACAAGGAACCTCACCTGCCCACCTCCTTCCTCTTTCTCATGACAATAAGAGCAACAACACCATGCACTTGATACATATGCATTAATTCTCACAAAACCGTGGTGTATATGGAAATCTAACTTCATAAAAGGCTTGATATCCCAGGCTTAACCCTCCCCCCACCTCTACCCTACCCCAGTTACAAAATAAACCTTGCAGTACATGCTGACACCCAACATGTGCAAATCTATGTAATTGCCAAACAAACAGGACATCTGCTATTGTTGTATGTATACTACTGTACTACGAAAAAGTTATTTTTCAATGCAATGTGTCATACATGTCTGTGAAGAAAAAAAAAAAGGTGGTGGAATGTAAAGGGGCTAGTTTTGATTTGGTAGGGGCAAATAAGAAGTTTGCCATGACAGATAAGAGCATGTGCAAGCTGGGCTGCAACTCCTGTCCAATCAAGAGGTATCAAAGAAACATGATTCCTCTCTTGCAACTGTCATTAGTCTAATAATATCTTTACCTTTTGTGTCACTTTACCCCAATCCCTCTAGCATGTAAGCTCATTGTTCCTGTGTGTCCAACTTGTTTACAACTAAATGTTTGTTTGTTTGTTCGTCCACCCACTGTAAAGCACTGCAGAATTTATTGGCGCTATATAAATAATAACATAATAATAATAAATGATTGATGGTTAGGTTACAGAAACTAAATGTTGATTTTATTCACAGATCAAGTGACAACTGACAACTAGAGTGGAAAAAAATGAGGAGCAGTAAAAAATCTTTACTTCCAAGCAGGAACCAGATAGTTTGACTGCAGCTACTGAGGGAGAGACAGGCTGTGACGGACCGCCTGGCCGCCCGACCGGGTACCTCTGTCAATTGCTGCTTCCTAGTACTTGCAAGCTCCATAAGCACTGTACTGGAATACCACAACCACCGTAAACCCCACGAAACACTGCAGCTTGGTTGGGGTCTCGCCGACCTCCACCCACCCTGGATCCAAGATCAAGATCCAGCTTCAGTGGGTAGACCTCTCCTAGTTCAGAGAGCGTAGCAGGAACAGCTCTTATAAGAGCTAGTGATTATACTCAGGGGAGTATTGTGATATAGAAATCCCCAGAGTGACTGTAGTTCTCCAATTCCCCAAACATGAGCCAAGACTTCATGAAGGGGTAAATTAATCTCAGTTTACTGGAAGCAACACTTGGCCTTAAATGACAATCCTCATGCAAGAGGTCCGCCCACAAGGATCTTGTGGGGGACTGATTTGCAACTTCACAGACCAAAACAATAAGGTTACAAGGCACGACACTCCCAAACACAGCACACAATCCCTCCCCTCTGCCTGGGAGATAATTGGATCAGTAACTGTACTAATTCTAATCCAATTATCTCCAAGCACAGAAAAAACATACTTTTTTAAAAACACCCCAAAAGTACCCTAAAAATACATAAAACCCCACAAATGGTACATCCCCTGATAGGCCTGATCTGGGTGACCAACATATCACCCAGATCAGTTCAGTGGCTCAGGAATTTCCTGGAAGTCATTTATTTGACCGACCGCAGGCATGGTCCCATACCTGAAAATAGTTCCATAGAATCGAGGCTAAGTGCCGCTGGAGGACCGACCGGGAACTGCGAAGTCTTCAGGCCGAAAATAGTTCCATAGAATCGCGGCTAAGTGCCGCTGGGGAACCGACCGGGAACCGCAAAGTTTTCATGCTGAAAATAGTTCCAGGGCATTTGAGGCTAAGTCCCCCTGAAGTATTTTCTCAGTTTTGGTCCATGTGAACAAGATGGCCGCCACCATATGGGGATTTTATGTGTTTTAAGGTATTTTGAGGGTTTTGTACAAATGTGTGTTTTTTTTTTTTGTGTTTGGCTATAATTGAGATTAGTATAGTGTTCCCCAGTCCACCGTCAACAGTAGTTTCATGGCCTCTGGAATTATTTAACCATGAGGAATGCTAAAACCTCCTCTACTGTTGCATCCCCTGCTAACACTAATGCTGCTGCCACCACCTTTATTAGTACAACTCAGCCTCAGGAAGGTGGGATTAGCACCATGTCCATTACGCTCGACTTAACCCCCCCGGAGCCAAGTGGACTTTTGTAAGCCTTTTCATGCTGCAGTAACTTCTGCTGTAGTAACTTCTGCTGCAGTTTCCACTGGCACTGCAGTACCTTCTACCACAGCTAGTTCAAGCATTACAACTTCTTTGTTTTAAGGTACTTGGAGCAAATGATCAGGCCTTTATCTGTGTACCCCATATTTCTCGTAGCCTCACCAAGAAACAACTAAAGAAAGGCTCAGCAGAGACTTGTAGGTGTCATCAAACCCACTCTTTACTGATGAGGTAGAGCAGAGTATCCATGTAGTGTCCCCAATATCTGGTCTTGGTGGTGATGAGGAATCTAGTGATCATGATATTGTTCTTTCCCCCACCTGTCCAGACATTTGTTTAAGACTGTCACAGAAGGAATACATGATAGAATACGGAAGAAGCAAAGTTTTAGCTTAATGCTGTTGGTAGTTTGGGGTGAGAAAGTGAATCAGCAAGCAGCCACAAGGCAAGTCTGAAATGGACAAGGCTTACCTGTGTGAACATAGTTTGCCTCCTACCCTGTGAGCTTCTTGGATAAGCAGTATTTTACCCACAGCTATTGTCATGTCCAACAACCACTTTTAAAAGTGAGCTAGTGTTTTCTGTTACAGAGACTCTGAATACCCAATGTTCACAAATGTCCTTGCACCTGAAGGAGAAAATAGCCTTCCTCAAATTTAAGCTCCCCAACTTAGTTATCTTGCTCTTCACTTTGTTACTTGAGGTGTCATAATTTGTTACCTAAAATCAAAATTTCCTGTGGACACTCACATCTTTCTTTAAAGTTGTTTCTTAAAATAAATGAATAGAATTATTAAAATGAAATTACTACTACTGCTGCTCTCCTTTTTTCACATGCCTAACTGATTTTTCAACACTGAAGAATGATAATGGACTCGCTTTGTTCTTGCCATCGTATAAGGTGTGAGTAGCTGACTTTATTTCTTTCATTTTTGGATAAATCACTTATTTTGAACTTTAAATTACTCATGCCCCCCTTTAATATGAAATAGCATAATGCAAAAGATTAAAAGCAGTCGCAGCCCCGTATTGCAGCGACTCACGCTCATCACCACAGCCAGTCTGGATAACACCTACTCTCACCAACGTGACTGACACCCGCAGACACACACTGGCGGACTAGCCAGAGGTCTTCGGACGGACGATGCCATTGACCGGCCAAATCCAACACACGTGGGCAAGCTTGCTCTCACGGCTTAGTTCGTTGGTCATCCCTGGCAAACTTTGGGACTGTGCCGGGTTACGTTGCACCTGACACCCGACAGAACTCTGGCAGCACGGCACGAAATATCTGCACATGCAGGCCTATAGCCCAGCCGAGAGAAAGGTCGGATGACCGCAAGGAGGGGAAGGGGGGACTAGCCGAAATCCACAAACTTCTGTTAACAGAGACTTTTTTGCCTTTTCCTTTTATTTATTTCTATTTTTATTTTTGGCCTTTTTGGAGCTCCCACGATAACGCAGCAGAGCATTCGTTTTTCTTTGCCAGTCTGGACTAGATAGCGATCACTTACCAATATCACTCTGTCATGTATGTCGCGTCTGTTGCCATGATAAATGTAGATTTACATACCACAGTGTGTCACTAGACTAACATGTATGGACGTATCTATAACTACAATTCCAGATACCCTATGGCCCATGTTACAAACGTGTTTAATTTTTAGTTCTGGTTAGTTTGTTCAGAAATATTCTTTGCATGTCGCATGTATAGAGAGGCAGCGCACGATACCTAGCCTGGCCACTCTGCACGCAACACCCACTCACAGTTAGACGACTTAATACCACACAGACAGGTCACGTAGTGACTGATATTAAACCGGTCAATGATCAGGTCGCCACTGCCCTGACACCCACACACGTATAGACAGAGCTCTCAGAGAGCCCAGTGATTCCTCTTGCGATGTAATTATTTCCTAGCCCTTCCCCTTTGACTTCTACAATGACTCTAAGGATGCTGAAACTAGGAGTCCTGTGCCGATATGTCCAACATAGTTATGAACAAAAGGGCTAACTGAATTAACCAACCAGAGCAGCCTACCCACCCGCTCATTTACTCAACATACTCCACTACATCCCCCTAGATCAGCGGTCACTCATGTTTTAAGCACCTGTCTAGACTCTCAAGCAGACTAGCTTGTCCCAGCACTCCCAATATTGCAATAGTATATCGCAATGTAACTTATCTCACACACACCAGAATCTACACTGCAATCAGCATTCCACTATGGTTCAGCCTGTTATACTGTTATTGCTTATATATTTTATAAAATGTGCATGCACTCTTGCAACTGTTAAGCATGTATAGCCATCTGTAAATACGCTGTTGTGGCGTTGGAAACTGACATGTACCCACCTGCACAATAAAAAATAAAGAATTAAAAAAAAAAAAAAAAAGATTAAAAGCAGTCGTTCTATTTTCTACTTTTGTTAAAATGTTTTATTTTCATTTTAATTTTTCATGTTTAATTTCATTATTTATGTTTTAAATTAGGGACTATTCATGAAGAACTATGACCACATTATAGTATAATAAAATTTGATATACACATGTTGTAGCACAAAAGAACAAAGTGAGACATGCATGGGTGTACAATTAAATTGTTTATCCGATGTTAAATTGTATTTCACAACATAATACCCCAAACTACTATTATTATGCAAAAAAATAAAAAAAATAAACTTCAATTATGAAAAAAAATCAGTCATTCTAAAATTAAGTTCTCATTTACCTTTATTTATTTTTTATTTAAATACAGCTATATAACAATCTAATTTAGCCAACTGACATTGCAAACATAAAATGGCTACATTTTCAGATAGTTGTATTCTACAGAATTCCATCAGTTCACTTACAAATACCTGTAAACAGGGTATCTGACCATTTTCATTTAGTAAGGTCATACCAAATGTAGGTGAAATATAATCCATAAAAAACAAAGGGGAAGAGTCTAATATCAAAGAGGAAAGCAGCAACCCTAAAAAGGGAATCTCTCAAAACCATTTTGAGATAGAAAGAGAACAGAGGAGTTAAGGGCTGTGCTATTAGGTCACAGAACAGTGAAATAGAAACCAATTGGTTGAAGTGTATAATCAACAGGTGATAAAATCTGTGTATAATAGTCACAATTGCAGTATGTAATAGTAAAAAAAAAAACAGAGTCCGTCCAAATGTTCAATGAAAATCAAGTGATAAAAAAATTATAATAAAAAATATATTCAATAAAATCAATAGGAACAGTATCAATTTGGTGGAGCTAGGGCCAGCTCTGGGGTGAAGGGCACTTAGTGGTATAATCCCCACTACAGGATATACTGGAAGGGTAGGTCCGTCCAACTTGGGTTCCGTCGTATTCCACAAAGTATAAGAAACAGCAAATAGTGCTCTCAGTAAAAATAATAAAATAAATAAAATAAAATAAAATGTACTCACAAGAGTAGAGCAGGAAATACTGCTCTATTGCCACAGCGCTGGTGGAATTATCCCCACCTATGGATTGCTTTGATGTAGCTAGGACCGGCTCTAGTGTAATAGACGCTTGGTGGTATAATCCCCACTTGAGGATATACTTGAAGGGTAGGTCCGTCTGTCCGGCTTAAATTCCGTCGTATTCCACAAGATATATAAAACAGCAAATAGTGCTCTCAGTAGGAACAATAAAATAAGTAAAAATAAAATAAAATATACTAACAAGAATAGAGCAGACAGATACTGCTCTATTACCACAGCGCTGGTGGAATTATCCCCACCTAAGGATTTCTTGAGACGGGAAACGATTAAAATTAATTATAATCGATAAAAATAAAAATATAAAAAAATGAAGATAAAAAATGCCAGGAATAATACTAGTAAAAGTGTATATAAAAATACAATAAAGTCCATAAAGGATTGGTCCTATGAGAAAGGTAACCAAAAATAACTTTTATTGATTTAAAATACACTATTTAAAACCATTGACGCGTTTCACCTGTGAGGCTTTTTCAAAATGGTAATAGAACAATATACCTGGCATGAAACAGTATTTATAGGGGTACACAGTGGTTAAAATTGGCGCCAAAATCTGTTACACGATTACAGACAAGCATTAAAACAATTTTTTAAAACAAACTTAAAACAGATTAAAAACTATTTCGTTATATAGATATGGCTTATATTAGTCATAAAATATATTTCACTATGCAAAACGAAGCTTAAATAACTTTATTGATTACAACTTGCATAGTCACGTGATCGGGACTTAGGGAGCTGCGATACGCATGCGCGAGCGAATAGTGGGCGGTTCGCTCGGGCGCATAGCGCAACCCACAGCACTATGTGACCGGCATGAAGGAGCAATGCTCCTTGGGAAATGTAGTCATGCCGGTCACTGTGTGCATAAGGAAGGTGGCGAGCGAGCTGGCTCTAAATACCTTAAGTCAGCTGCTACCACTGACAACAATTAGGACATAAGAGAAGAAGAGGGGGGGACCATAAAACTAAAGAGAAGCAACCTAATATAGGTGCCATATATAAATTAATACTATTAAATAGTATTAAAAAATTATATAATAAAAATAAGAACAAATATACATGAATGTAAATTAAAACTGGACATGGATAAAAATGGAAATAAGCTGTATAAAAAAAGATGGTTTGCATCTTTCTCAAAAGGGAACAAATGTTCTCAGTGAGCAGTTCAGAGGTTTTGCTAGGATGTATTTAAACTAGGAGGGGGGGGCTAAAGGGTGATAAAACATAAATCCAATTGTCCCCCAAAACAAGGACAGAAGGTGCCTGTAGCAAGTGTGTTAAAAAATGATAAGCTTAGAGTCATGTCTACAAATGCTCGCAGTTTAGGGAAAAAGATCCATGAACTTGTGGCAATAATGGCAACTGAGAGTGTAGATTTAGTCGCTGTTACTGAGACATGGTATAATGAGAAAAATGACTGGGACATAGCAATACCAGGGTACTCTTTATATAGAAAAGATAGGGAAGGCAAGAAAGGGGGAGGGGTGGCCCTGTATGTGAAGGATAGCATAAAATCTAGCCTAATAAAAGTTAGTGAGACAAACATAGAGTCCGTTTGGGTTACGTTAGAATTTGGTAATCACACAGTAACTCATGTAGGTGTGATTTATAGGCCCCCAGGACAAATTGAAGAGTTAGATAATCTACTAGTTGAGGAAATAGCTAAAATGACAATGAAGGGAGAAGTTATCATCATGGGTGACTTTAATCTTCCTGATGTAAATTGGAAAACAAAATTAGCTACTTGTGCCAGGAGCACACATATTCTAAACTCACTATTGGGATTGTCTCTAAAACAAGTTGTTGAAGAGCCAACTCGTAAAGAGGCCATACTAGATTTAGTGTTAAAAAATGGAGATTTGGTATCAGATATTACTGTAGGTGAAAGTTTCGGATCCAGTGATCATCAGTCAGTGTGGTTTAATATAAGAACAGTGACTGAGTCACACCACACAAAAAAACTAAAGTTTTAGACTTTAGAAAAACAGACTTTTCTAAAATTAGAATATGTGTAGAGGAGTCATTATCAGACTGGAGCAATTTAAATGGAGTCCAAGAGAAATGGGATTATTTAAAAGTTGCACTATTGAAGGCAACAGAAAATTGCATTAGGCTTGTCAGTAAAAGCAAATAATTCAAGAAACCATTGTGGTACTCCGCAGATGTGGCCAAAATACTTAAAAACAAAAAGTTAGCATTTAGGAATTACAAAAAAACCCAGAGTGAGGAAGACAAAATGATCTATAAGATTAGGCAGAAAGAGGCTAAGCAAGTTATAAGAGCTTCCAAATCACACACAGAAGAGAAAATAGCACAGTCAGTAAAAAAGGGGGACAAAACATTTTTTAGATACATAAATGAGAAAAGAAAAGTAAAACAAGGATTAGTTAGATTAAAAACAAAAGAAGGAAGGTATGTAGAAGAGGATAAAGGTCTAGCTGACTGCCTCAATGAATATTTTTGTTCTGTATTTACAGATGAAAATGAAGGAAAAGGACCTCATTTGAGAAAAAGGATAAATGAGTCATTTATTACACGTAAGTTTACAGAGGAAGAGGTTCTATTTCAACAGTCAAAAGTAAAGACAAACAAGTCAATGGGACCTGATGGAATACACCCAAAGCTATTAAAAGAGCTTAGTGGTGTACTAGGAAAACCATTAACAGATTTATTTAACCAATCATTGTTAACCATTGTTAACAGGAGTAGTCCCAGAAGATTGGAAGTTAGCGAATGTTGTGTCCATTTACAAGAAATGTAGTAGGGAGGAGTCGGGCAACTATAGGCCAGTAAGCCTTACTTCAGTAGTGGGGAAAGTGATGGAAACCATGTTAAAGGATAGGATTGTTGAACATCTAAAAACACATGGATTTCAAGATCAGAGACAATATGGATTTACTTCAGGGAGATCATGCCAAACTAATCTCTTTTTTGATTGGGTAATTAAAATTATAGATCAGGGTGGTGCAGTAGACATTGCTTGCCTAGATTTCAGTACGGCTTTTGACACTGTTGCACATAGAAGGCTTATCAATAAACTGCAATCTTTAAGTTTGGATTCCAATATTGTTGGATGGGTAAGGCAGTGGCTGAGTGACAGGCAACAGAGGGTTGTAGTTAATGGAATATATTTGAAGCTTGGACTTGTCACCAGTGAGGTACCTCAGGGATGTGTACTTGGACCCATTGTCTTTAATATTTTTATTAGTGATATTGCAGAAGGTATTGATGGTAAGGTATGTCTTTTTGCTGATGATACTAAGATATGTAACAGGGTTGATGTTCCAGGAGGGATAAGCCAAATGGCAAATGATTTAGGTAAACTAGAAAAATGGTCAGAATTGTGGCAACTGACATTTAATGTGGATAAGTGCAAGATAATGCATCTTGGACGTAAAAACCCAAGGGTAGAGTACATAATATTTGATAGAATCCTAACCTCAACAACTGAGGAAAGGTATTTAGGGGTGATTATTTCTGATGACTTAAAGGTAGGCAGACAATGTAATAGAGCAGCAGGAAATGCTAGCAGAATGCTTGCTTGTATAGGGAGAGGTATTAGCAGTAGAAAGAGGGAAGTGCTCATGCCATTGTACAGAACACTGGTGAGACCTCACTTGGAGTATTGTTCACATTACTGGAGACCGTATCTTCAGAAGGATATTGAGAGGGTTCAGAGAAGGGCTACTAAACTGGTTCATGGATTGCGGGATAAAACTTACCAGGAAAGGTTAAAGGATCTTAACATGTATAGCTTGGAGGAAAGACGAGACAGGGGGGATATGTTAGAAACATTTAAATATATAAAGGGAATCAACACAGTAAAGGAGGAGACTATATTTAAAAGAAGAACAACTACCACAACAAGAGGACATAGTCTTAAATTAGAGGGACAAAGGTTTACAAATATCAGGAAGTATTACTTTACTGTGAGGGTAGTGGATGCATGGCATAGCCTTCCAGCTGAGGGGTAGAGGTTAACACAGTAAAGAAGTTTAAGCATGCGTGGGATAGGCATAAGGCTATCCTAACTATAAGATAAGGCTAGGGACTAATGAACGTATTTAGAAAATTGGGCAGACTAGATGGGCCGAATGGTTCTTATCTGCTGTCACATTCTATGTTTCTATGTTAATACTATTTTCAGTATCACATGTTGTATGGGAAATTGGAAATTGAGTTTAAAATAATAACATTAAAATAAATTAAAAATTGCACTTTAATCTCTCAATTAGGTGGTGGCATGGCTTGAAATCTGACCAAAATGGCTGCTTGAGAACCGAGCTCCATGCCACCAAGCTATCATCAGCATATCTACCGCACATATAACCCTCCAAATGGGTCACAACAAATACCCAGAAACACCCCAGACCTTCAGGGGTACCCAAACTGGTATGCAACTAGGCTGGATGGATGGTTATATACAGAACCCAGTGGGAGCCTTGGAAGACGCACATGGCTCCAAGATGGCGCCCCCATGCCCCTCTGCAGCCTCCTATACAGGAACCACCAAACTATCGGTTATCAGGGCCGACATCAAGAAACTCACCCCCACGATGGTTACAAAGCAGGACCTCCAGGAGCTGTCTACAACCCCTCAAGACGCTATTAATATGGCTGTCTCCATGCTGAGAGTGGAGATGACGGCCCAAGATGCACAGATCCAGGTTCTGGAGACACACTCCCAAGCCTCATCTGCGCAATTACGGGCCACTGACCTGGCTCTGGCGCGGCAGTGAGCTATGCTTCTCGCTATCCGCCGCCAAATGGAAGACCTGGACAACCGGAGCAGACGCTACAATATTAGGGTGCGTGGTGCCCCTGAGCCCAATAGAGATGAGAAAGTTGAGTCCCTCTGTCAGGATTACAATTGATCCAACATGCAGTATTAGTAGTATTAGTATTAGGAATAAGGATAATGTCTAACCGGACCTTAGAATGTCCGGTCTTAACGTACCAGAGAATAGTCGAAATACTAGCAGAGGTCAGGAACACAGAACGAAACACAGTTGCAAGGAATAGCCAATAGTCAGGGATACCAGAATTCAGGGAAGTCAGAATGAATCCAAAGTCAATAACCAAAGAAACACGATCAGGAACACACGCTCGGATAACCAGCAAGGGGAAACCACGACCGGGGAAATGAGTGAGATTATATATCCCTCTTGTGAATCCGATTGGCTGTATCCATCTTTTGATCCCAAAACATGCGCGCATGTTCAAGAAACATGTCAACGTCGCTACAACCGTGGACAGACGTGAAGCTACATAACATTGTGGTCCACAGCTGCCGGCCTTATGGCATAGGACCGCTGAGCATCACTTGTCCTATTCCTGGAATGGTGATTTATGTTGTTCCCAGCATAGCGAGAGGATGTATACGTGACACCCTCCTAACCTCACTATTCAATATTATACTTGATGAGGAAGGTGCTGAAGAAATCCTGTTTGACAGGGCACATCAGGCTATCCGGAAAAGCATGTAGCATGGGGCCCCGAGAGATTTGATATGCTGCCTCCACTCATATCGAATGAAGGAGAGGATCATGCAGAAAGCTAGATCCCTATCCACCTGGCACTTTCAGGACACTGCAATCTCTATCAACAATGATCTCTCACCACCAACACTGGAGGCCGTAGAGCCCTGGAGCCCGTTACATTAGCCCTTTGAGAGAGAAATATTCCCTACAAGTGGGGATTCCACTTCTGCCTACTTGCATGATTCCACAATCGTGGCCTGAAGGGATCCTAGCATTAAGTTTGTTTTGGCATCTGGGTGTATTTTTGAGGGGTTTCAAGAGGAGCCACAGCCACAGGTCTTGTGGTATATTGGAGTGTAGTATTGTGAAAGTGAGTTGCGTTACTTGAAGCCACAGTCGGGCTATCTGTGTACATTCCCACCATACGTGGAGGTATGTGCCCTTTTCCCCACAACCCTTCCAGCACAAGTTTGAGTTCAATATTCCCATTTGTTTTAGTTAAAGGGGGGGTGAGGTACCAGCACGTGAGGGTTTTATACGCCTGCTCTTTATGATTAATGCATATGAAAACCATGGCTGTGGCCATGGTTGTGCTGTGTGGTAGTAGTATGTAAAGTGGGGGAGTCCCAGTCCTTTCACCCTATTTGGTATGTAGAGGGTTGCTTATTTGATTCTCGCCCTCCTGTCATGAATATATGAATTTATTGATTTGGGTCTGGAGTGTTTTAAAATTTGTTAATGGAGATTGGGATGGTTAATGCCTGGAACAGGTAGAGGAATCTAGGTAGTAGGTTCATCTTTATAGATGTTGTTTGTCCCAGCCATGATATTGATAGTCCCGTCCACGTTTAAAGGTCTTGTGTTGCTTGTTGGAGTAATGGGGTGTAGTTGTGTTGGTAGGTCTGTGTCAGGTCTTTAGGAATGCGTGTCCCCAGATATTTAATATCTGTGTGCTGAAAGTCGAATGGGTATAGATGTTCTAGGGTCTGCAGTGATTGAGTATCTATGTGGATTGGAAGAACGTCCATTTTATCTATGTTAAGTTTATAACCTGAGATTACTGCGTACTCATTCAAGAGTGGTGGCATGGAGTCTATAGGATTGGTGATGGTCAGCAGTATGTAATCTACATATACTGCTGTTTTAGCTACATCTGTGCATATCGTAAGTCCATGGATTTCCTTATTGTGCCTAAGCGCTTGCAGAAGCGGCTCCAGTGAGAGGGCAAAGAGAATAGGGGATAGGGGGATAGGGGGCACCTCTGTCTCATGCCATTGTGAATTTCATATGTGGGAGCGTGAGTGGTAGCTGTTTGGGGAGGTTTGCTTTTGGGGAGGCATATAGGGTCTGTAGTGCATCTATGAAGGGTTGTGGGAATCCAAATCTATGTAGGGTCGCATATAGAAAAGGCCAGAGTACTTGGTGAAAAGCCTTCTCGGCGTCAAGAGATAGGACTAAAGTGGGGATTCTCCTGTGGGTCGCCACCCTGATGAGATTGTATGTGCGTCTAATATTGTCACATGCTTGTCTGGAGAGGATGAATCTCACCTGGTCAGGGTGGATACATTTGTGAAGGTATGGGTTCAATCGTTCTGCCAAAATCTTAGTGAATAGTGTGATATCTACGTTCAGTAGGGAAATAGGGCAACAGCGGCCCAGTTCGAGATGGGATTGGTTTGGTTTAGGAAGGAGGCAAATGTTGGCTTGTAACATTTCTTTCAGTAGCGGATCGCCGTCCAGAATTGTGTTAAAGAGATTTCTGAAATGTGGGGTGAGGATCGCCGCAAAGGTTTTGTAATACAACCCAGAGAAGCCATCAGGGCTGGGGCTTATATTTGGTTTAATAGTCTTCAGTACTTCTATGCAGTCAAAGTGTGAGTAGGTCTTGTGTGGGCTGTCTTATATTACGGGACAGTTTCGGGTCTGTTCAGATGGTAGCATGCACATATTTACACAATCGTCATCTTAAGGTTAGGGTAAAACAGAAAATGACAGTGCAATCTAGGAAATCTTGGCTACTTCCTGCATGACAGTAGGGAGTCTTAGTAAGTGCAGGTATTTTTCTATGAGGTTCCCTAGGTTGCCTGGCTTCTGGTGTGCCTATGGGTTGTGGTCTTATAGGGTTGAGAAATAGTTTTGGAAAACCTCAGCAATCTGGTCAGGAAGGTCTGTGGTTTGTCCATCAGGGGTGAAGATTTTGGTGATGTGTTTATGTGTGGATCGTTGGCGTAGCCTGTGGGCTAGCAGGGTGTCAGCCTTGTTTGATTTTTCATAGTATAATTGTTTTGTCCATTGAAGGGCTCTGGCTGCATCTCTGCCCATGAACTCTTTGAGGTCTGTCTGGAATTTGTGATTTGTGTCTTAAGGCTCGTGGTGGGGTTCTGTTTGAATTGGTGCTTTAAGGTTCTCAGCTCAATGTGTGTCTGTTCTAAGTTGGTCAGGGCTTGTTTCTTGTGGGTGGAAGCAAGGCTGATGATCGTGCCCCAGATTACTGATTTGTGTGCTGACCGGAGTGTGCTTTTGGAGGTCACCAAATCTTTATTTAACGTAATATATTCTGTGATGGATTCCTGAGTGGGTTATGGAGTAGGGTAAGGTTTAGGCGCCAGGACAGGGACGCACTGTATTGGGTATCTCAATCGTTAGTGTGACGTCTGCGTGATCAGACCAAGTTATAGAACCTATGTGGGTTGATTTTATATGTGGCATAAGGAGGGGGGAAACTAAGAACATGTCGATTCTGGAGTGGGATTGGTGAGGGTGGGAATAAAAGTAGTCGTTAGCGGTTGGGTGCTGCACTCTCCACGCGTCCAGCAGGTGTCTATTAGATGTGAAGGAACATAGCATTTGATCTGATTTGGCTGTTGGGGGAAGGTTGCGATGTGGAGGTCCCATGCGGTGTCTATCTATTGCTGGGATGAGGGTGGCATTGAAGCCGCCTCCTACTGTGATGTGATGGGATAGGAAAAGCTTCAGGTGTGTGTGACGGATCACCTGGCACCCCAACAGGGCATCTCTGCCAACTAGATGCTTCCTAGTACTTGCGAGCACCATAAGCACCGCAACAGACACCACAAGCACCACACACTCCACAACCGACGTAGCTTAGCTGGGATCTCGCCTTCTTCATCCCACCCGGGACCAACCTCTGATATCTAGCACCGTGTGGGAAAGACCAATCCTCCAGGAGTGTCCTGCTTAACCCTCAACACGTAGATTGGTCTCGTGATTGGAGGGGAACTGCTATATCACTACTAGCTCTTATAAGAGCTATACATGATTACTCTCCTGTTAGAGAGGTCTTTCTCACATGGTCCTGGATATCAGAGGTTGGTCAAGGGTGGGAGGAAGAAAGCGAGATCCCAGCTAAGCTATGGCGGTTGTGGAGTCTGAGGTGTTTGTGGTGTCTGGTGCCGTGCTTACGGTCCTCAGCGTCAGCTAGGAAGCATCTGTTGGCGGAGGTGCCCAGTCGGGGTGCCAGGTGATGCATCACAGTGTGCTTTAAGTGTCTGCCAAAAGGAGCTGTCTGGCTAGTTTGGTGAGTATACCGAAGCGAAGGCGTATTTTTAGGGGCCTATGTGTCCGGAGATTGTAAGGTATCACATCTAGGGATCAGCTTGGGATTGTTGTATGTGTAACAGGCAGGCTTTATGTAGAATTATTGCCACTCCGTTCTGCTTACCAATCGGAGAGCTCACGGTGTAGTATTTATTGTACTGTCAGCTTAGGAGAGGGAGCGGTTTGTTTTGGGTGAAGTGGGTTTCTTGTATTAGAAATATTAGATCTATTGGCCCACCTTAGAAATTGATGTCTTTTGGAGGGATTGTTAGGACCCCTGCAGTTGTTGGAAATGCACTTAATGGTGCTGGGCTTGCAATTTGACCCTCTGGCTGTGGGGGGCCCAGCACCCAAGGTCCCTTTGGAATACATAGAAGGAGGTGGTGTGCAAGCAGGGAGTGGAAGGAAGGGGGAGTGGATAGGTCGAAGGAAGTGAAAAATAGAAGGGGGAGGGGTAGAGAGAGAGAGGGAGAGAGAAGAAGAAAAAAAAAAGGGTGAAGGGTGTATGAGGTAAGATCGTGTTGGGAGGCCTGGTCATATGCAATCAGTGCCAGGCTTGATGAGGGCGGAGATTGCCTGGCTGATGGGGTGATTGGGGGGGGAGTTGCAGTCTGGGAAAAGTCGTGTGTAATATGTTAAGAATGGTTTCTGTTGTTGCTAAGAGTTGCTAAGAGTCTGGGTGTTTAGGTAGGAATAGAGAG